CCACACTGTCTATATAGATGCATCCTTTAGACCGCCTTTGTCTTCTAGCCAATGTTGGAGGTCATGAGGCTCCGCATATCAAAGGCAGGGACAGAGGAGAGTCGGGTACCCAACCAGAACATGTCATGGTCCATTGTCAGCTATTAGTAACCTATTGCCAGTTCCTGCTGTCCTGTCTCCTAAGTCCCTTTATGTGGCCCGAGATGGTCCCCAAGCTATTGGAACTACAAATGGGAGGAGGCCTCCTGGGACAGGGAAGCCCTTGGTTCTGTTTGGCCATGCCTAGCTCTCTACATGACTGACCTTGAACAAGAGGTACCTTCTGGCCTCAGTGTGTTCAGTGAGGTCTAGATCCAAGGAGCCAGAAAAGAAAGCAGAGGATCCCCCCCCCCCCCCCCGCCTCCATGATGTACTACCCCACTTATCTTAGATTTCCCCAGGAGATTTGGCACAGGAAGTAGGTGGGCCACAAAAAGAAAATCGCAGTCTACAGATTCTTCTATGCCCAAGCTTTACTTTCCAGCCAAAAACTTCCCAGAGAGAGAAAAATCGTGGAAGCCAGCATGGTGTGGCGACTCACGCCTGCGATCCACCACTCAGAAATCTGAGGAAGACTGCTATGAATTCAGGGCTAGCCTGGGATACATAGTGAGTTCAAGGTGCCTGAACCATGCAATATGAAACCCTAGTGGTGGTGGTGGGGGGGGGGGGGGGGTTCTGGGAAGCTCTTTAAAATTATCTCAGTCAGCCAGGCATAGTGGCTCGGACTTTTAGTCCCAGCACTTGGGAGGAAGAAAGGCAGGTAGATAGATCTCTGTGAATCCGAGACCAGCCTGGTCTACACAGTGAGTTCTATGACAGCCAGAGCTGCACAGTGAGATGCTATCTTGAAAACAATAATAATAAAATAAAATTAATTGAATAAATGAAATTATCTCAGTGAGGGAAGCTAAGACCGGAAAAGGTCAGCACAGTGTTCAAGGCAACAAAGCAAGTCCCAACTGGAAGAGGCCCAGGGTCTCTGACTCCCAAGTCAGTGTTCTTCCCATGGTCTACAGTGCTTTCCAGAATGATGGGCACAAAAGCCATCCTGGTATGAACCTGGTATGAACCTGGGGCTCCCGCACAAGAAGTCTACTCTCCTTCCCTGTCTGGGACTCCATTTCTTCCTGGAAACAGGGGAACCAGAGGCAGCAGGACCCAATACCAGCATCCGGCAGATACTCAGGGCTTCCCCAGGACCCAATACCAGCGTCCGGCAGACCCCGAAAGGCTTTCCCAGGTGGACCCTGTCGCCCTCCTCTCAGCCCTTCCTTCACAGACAGCAGGGGACTCTGGCCAGGAGATCCCACCAAGTTGCACCCCCACCGGCCCTGTCCCACCCTAGACCCTATGGTTGGACTCCGTCCAGAGTTATAGGCTCCGGCCCAGCTTCCCTCCTAGAATTTTTTCTTACCATAAAAGGGCAAGTGTGCCTTTCTCAGCCCTGCTGCCAGCCCTGCTGGGGGAAAGGCTGAGTTATTTTTAGAAGATGGAGGATTTATTCCTAACCCAAGATGGAGCTGTCCCTTTGCACCACAGCCTCTTTCCCAGCTGCTGCTGTCTCCCTTCCCTTTCCCCTCCTTTGTGGCCTTCAGTGTCTCCTCCCCACCCCCCACCCCCCACCCCCCACCCCTGCCAACACACCACACCACACACACACACACACACACACACACACACACACACACACACGCATGCATGTGTCTCTTTTCTCTCTCCTCTCCCCAGATCCTTTCACAGCCTGCTTCCCTCCTCTTGCCCTCCCTCAGATCTCCTTTCTAGTCACTGGAGAAAGTGACGCATCTGTCCCCCACCCCCTCCTGAAACAGTATTTACAACATACATTCCAAACATCCGCCATCTGGCTTCTAGGAAGGGCCAAAAGCTATTTGGAGAAGGAAGTCATGATTATTCCATCTTCAAAGCCAGGGAACTTAAGGCCCTCTGCACCCCCACCTTCCTCCCACAGGCCCCCTGTGTGGACCGATGACATCTCTCAGTCAACAGATGCGGTCAGGACCTTAGCGGGATGTCTGTTGGATCCCTGACTTCAAGCTCTTCCTTTGCATCCCTTGCTTCGCCTCTGTGGCCCAGTGTTCTCATCTGAACCAGGGCGTGAGACCAGCAGGGCGCACCGCACGTGTTTTCAGGGCCTGGTGCAGCTCACTGAGACGCCTGCTTTGAGCTGAGCAGGGAGGAAAGGGGGATGAGCACAGGCAGGACTTGGGAGAGTCCTGACACCATGAAGTCCCTTCCTCTCCCACCACGTCCTGCACATGTGACTCCTGACAGGCAGAGTGGGGGAGACCTATGCACATAAGCTGCAGGAGCTTTATCCCTGCTCGCTAATTTCCTTGTCCTAAATAGTCCAGAAGAAACCAGTATCTGTTCTCCAGGAAGCGTGACCGTTCCTACAAAGCCCTGCAGTCCTGGAGATTCCTTTTCTTTGCAAAGCATGAAAGACGGGCTGGGGAGGTGGCTCATGTGGGAAAGTGCTCCCCGTGCTTGAGGACCTGGATTTCGATTCCCAGCACCCACATAAAAGCGAGGTGCTCTGACAGCACCTATAATCCCAGTGCTGAGGAGGCCAAGACAGAAGGATCCTTAGACCTTGCTAGACAATCAGTAGTGAGGTGACTCAGTGGTTAAGAATACCGGCTGTATCTTACAGAGGACCCGTGTTCGATTCCCACATTCCCAGCCCCCCGCATGATGGTTTACAACCATCTGTAACTCTAGTCCCAGGGGATCCAACACCTTCTGGTGCCCCCTGAGGGCATTGCACTTACACACACACACACACACACACACACACACACACACACACACACACAGACATGCTTAAATACACTTTTAAAAAATGTTAGAGAACAATACAAGACACCTAATGCCAGTCTCTGGTCTTCACACTCACTGGTACATACATGTACTCCTAACCCAAGATGGAGCTGTCCCTTTGCACCACAGGCCCCTCCCCCAGCAGCTGCTGTCTCCCTTCCCTTTCCCCTCCTTTGTGGCCATCAGTATCCCCACCACCACAGACACGCACACGCAGGAGCACACAAACATATACACAAACCCGAAAGAGGCAAATAAGACAGAGCACGACCTTTATAACGGTAGGGGGTGGGGTGGGGTTGTGTGTCTGTTTAAACAGATACTCAACAACCAAGCGAGAAATGGCATAGGAAAGAGACAGCTGCACCCACAAGCAAACTGTTGCTTCCAGTGTCTGGTGGCCTTGCCAGGGCCCTGACGACTTCTGTCCACACTAAAAATGCTGTGTTCTCAGCCTCCTTCCCTCCAAGACAAGCAGGACAATCCGAGCTTCGACGGAGCCAGGACAGTGCGTGCTGGACTGCATGGGGCCATCTGGGACTCCTAGACTAATGAGCTCTGTGACTGTGACCTTGAGGGGGTACTTGGTTCCTTCGTTTGTAAAATCCCACTAAGAAGGCTCCTAATGAGAACTGGACAAACATTCTCAGCAAGGGAGAGGTGCGTCAAGAGTTCCCCACTCTTCTCCCCCATCCTGCTTGGAGCCAAGGGAAGCTGTGCAGAAACCAACTCCTCTTTTCAGATTTTGCTCTCATTGGAAATTAGGGATCCAGGTGTTTAGGCCCTTCCTCTCACCCCCCGACCCTCCCTAGGATCTGAGCTGCTGGAGACAAGGCTTGGGGGATCCAGAGGAGCCAGGGGCCCCTTTCTCTTCCCTCCGTTCCCTTTTCCCTGCATTGCTGGTTTTCACCTCAGGCTACATTCCCAGGGCTTGCTCAAGAGTCCCAGAACACCATTCCCTGGGGAGGAAGTAGGGAGCGTGTGAGGTTGGTGAACTTTACAGGGTGACCAGGGACTGAGGGCGCTCTGGGAACAGAAGCCAAGGGAAGCTGGGCACAAGGGAACATGAGAAGGGACCAGGCGGTGGTGGCGGCTCCTGTAGTCAGCATCCACACCTCCAGATGCCCCTCCTGCCCCTGCACTTACCATGCATGCTAATGATAGAAACCGCAGCCATTTTAGTCTTGGCTTGCCATGCGCCTCGAACTGTGCTCATAGCTGCTGCCCCTGACTGTCAAAACCAAGGATGTGAGGTCAGAAGCCACGTGAAGACAAGGATCCTCGAACACAGCCAGGAAGGGTTAGGGATGAGATTCCAAAGCCCGGCCCACCTCTCCTGTATTCTGTCTAAGCATGTAGTGGTAACGGGCTCCCAGCGTCCAGAGCCATGGAACCTGTGTGTGGGAGGGGGCTCACAAAGGGAAGCTAAGATACGGAGTCTCTCCCAAGAGAGCAGCTGTGACTTGTTCCCTGGGAGACGGTCCTGGCTCTGGCAATGACCTTGACCACGTGAACTTTGCTTTGTGGTCATCCGAGTTCAGGGGATAGCTAGCCGAGCCTGGCTCCTGGTCTGCCTTGAATACTGGTCAGTGGATTACCCAGCGGAAACTACAAGGCCTCGTTCACTCCCCTCCCGCCTCAGCAGTTGCTGTACCGTTCTGAGGCCATTCTACAAGGCCAGGAGCCTTGTGCTAGGAAGAGGTTGCAGTCTTGGTCACCGAGTCAGCCCCCGGTTGTGGCCTTCCCCAACACATTTGTGATGTGAGAGGTGGGACCACCGGCCATCAGCGCCTCTGGGCAACGCCCTTGCAGAGCAGAGTTTTTGCTGACGGGTCCAGCTGCATTGGAAGGGAAGGTGATCCCTCCTCCTCACAGAGCTGAGAGTTTCCCTGAAGTCTACCATTGGAAGCAAGGTGGGCACCGCAGGGATCATGGCCATGTAGGGCTCAAGGGACAAAATTCCACGAGGCTTGACAAACCTCAGCAAGTCAGCCCAAGGCTTCTGGGCTAGGAGTGGTCCAGGCCCTTTCTCAGTCTCAGAGAGCAATAGCAGGAGCAGGCCCTGGGGGTTCAGCACTTTGGTCACAGCATGCTGTGAACCAGATTTTTGTTCTTTTCAGGCAAGAGTGGCAGCTAGTAGGGTGTCCCCCCTACACTGGAGAATGAAGACCCCCTCCAAAGAGAAATCCTCCCGAGAACCAGGAAAGGACAGCAGTAGTAGCCCTGCTCCCAGAACTGTAAGTATTCCCTTCCATGGCCCCCATAGACACCCCAACTCAGGGAGCTCTAGGAATAACCTGGGACCCTCAGACAAGCTCCCCATCCCAGTGCTCAATGTTCGGGAAACCAGGCCTAGGAGTCTCAAAAGCAGAGCCTAGCCACAGGGCGGCCTTTCAGTAATGTCGGAGGCTGGGATGGAGGAGGAATAAATGGAAGCAAAGACGAGGGGACCCAACAGGTGTGGGAACCCTTCCCATCCCGCTCCATTCTCTTCGAACAGCAACAGGACGTCGGTTCGGCTTGAGGAAGACACAGACAACAGTCATCTTCCTTAGAGACGGGAGAGTTTTGTAGGAGGGGTACCTGGGGTCCTGGGGCTCTGGGCAAGGACTACACTATTGAGAACAGTACCTCCCAGGGATGGAGGTGATCCTTCAGTCCTGCCAGGGTCAGAGCATGCAGAGTGCCGCATTCGGTATCACACAGGAAAGGAGGGGGCCTCTGTAACACAGCTAGGGAAACTGAGGTCCAGCAGGGAGGAGGGGCACACTCCGAATTGCAAGGTGAGGGAGGCAGTGTAGAGAAGTCTGGCACGGATCTATCAGGGATGGAATAAACAGAGGGAAAAAACCAGAGGTGGGAGAAGAGAGAGGGGACGCAGGGCAGCAGAAAGGAACTAGTCTGTGGATGGGAGGTATGGCTTATGTAACACGGCCCACCTGTTCACCCCTGTGTAGCCTCCTCATGTGTGCGAACGTGCACCCCAACACGGCACACAGCCGGTCTCCACTTGGGAGCCAATGAGCTACAGAGACTGTTGTAAACAAATTGGATTGGGAGGCTGTCCTCCTCTGCGACCCTCTGGCGGACATTAAGCAGGCCTGTAGAGTGGCCAGCTGCACTCTCTCTGGCATGGGGACAGTCAGCCCTGAGCCCCCAACCCCTCCCCCACCCAGCCCCAGGAAGGAGCCTTGGAGAAGATGCCAGGATGATGGATGGGGTGAGGGAGGTTCCAGGGCCGGCCTGAGAGCACACAGGATGTTAGTGCTTGTGTGAGGCACATTTCTGAGCTGTTCCCAGCAGCCCACCCCCTCCACCCCCTTGGGCTCCCCCTCTGCAGCCTCTCCCACGGTCACTGCTGCTGGCCTGGGACTTGGGCCTAGCCTGAGGTTCCAAGCAGAGCCCAGGGCCTAGGCCCTGAACACATCTGCCCCCTCAGTCCCACAGCAGGATGGAGGGGAAAGAGCTGAGGAGGCGTCACAGGGAGACACTGGAGGTCACTTTACAGGGCAGAAGGGACCTGTGAGCGGGAGAACAAAGCCAGCTCCGTGGTTTCTTACCCATCGCTTCAACTGATCCTTAGACCAGGCCGCAGAGCTGGAATTGTGATCAGGGTACAGCTGTGACCAGCAAGGCTCATTCATTCGGCATTTCCACACATCCCTCCTCTGAGGCCCTAATCTGCACCGGGCCCTGTGGCATATGCTGAGGACAGCCAGTCAACAGCCTATTGCCCATCCCTGTGGCATATGCTGAGGACACCCAGTCAGCAGCTTATCGCCTACCTGGTGGAACTGTTCCCCTTGGGCTGTGTGTGGAGCATCAACGTTTTCCTGGTTTCCCAGGGGCACACCTCCAACACAATCAACTTCCTACGGGAGCATGGGTGATGACTAAATTCGCCCCTTTATGCTGTGTTAATGCCATCAGCCCACTCTGAGCTCTGGGGCCGGATACCAGGCCCTGATACCAGACAGCCCTGAGTTAAATCCCACCTCGTTTCCTGTTCCGTTGCCTCGCTGGGCCTGTTTTCCCTTCTGCAAAAGGGGGGGTGCAATTGCTCTCACCCCATGGGGCTGGTTATGTACTCCTCTTCCGTACTATCATTTTACACAGAGAGAAAGAGAGGTCCCAAGAAGGAAAGGACTCTGAGATGGGAGTTAAATTTGGACCAGACTGTTCCCTCCCACCTGCTGCACCCATCAGAGAGTAAGATGGCTGCTCAGTTTGTATAGATGATTCCCGGGATATGTGCTGGGCCTTGCCCAGCTTCTCAGCAGCAGCCCAGGTGACCAGTGGTGCCTGAGGTGAGGAATGACGGGCAGGGTTCCTGGCTCGGAGCAGTCTTGCCATATAAGGGCAGGAGCCACCGAGGAGCGGAGCGAGCGAGCGAGCGTCCAGCCTGGGCCTGAGACTATCCAGACAGCCACTGTTTATTTTCTGCTTCAGCCTTCCCTCCTCTCACCCCCACTCCCAGGAGCTTCCCAACAGACACAGAAGCCAGAGATCCCCTAGCCTGGAGACATTCTCTGAAGACGTGGGAAAAGGAGAGAAAGCGGGTCACCCCCTGCAGCAGGCCTCCAAAGCTGCTGAGAGACAACACCAAGAGCACCAGGTAAGATCCGGGAGTCCGCCTGGGTCAGCCACCTCTTTTAACGGAACGGGGAACCAAGCCCCAGAGATGAAGGGACCCAGTGAGAAACAGCTGTGCTGACTGGAGATCGAGCCTGGACCCCCAAGCCCTCCTCGTCTTCTGGGCCATGGAGCTTCTCTTGGCGTAAATGATGCAGAAAGGCTACATATCTCTTCTCAGTGAAGCCCGGCTTGAAGGAGGCTGGGGGTGGGGGTGGGGGTCCGGACAAGCTCTGCCTACCAGCCCAGCACGTGTACACGTATGTTTCTGGGGCCAGAGAGCCAGAAGGCGCACCTTCCCGCCCCGCTGCTCCTCCCCGCCATCCCAGTCCCCACCCCAACCCTTCCAGAAGGCCTTTTGAGCTACCCAGTGGGTGGAGGAAGGAACCTCCCTGACCACAAGCTCCTGGCAGTCCTCTCACAGGCTCTCTGGAGTTCTGCCGAGTCTGCCCCCATGCCCTGCTCAGGGGCTCTCCTAGTCCTCGGTCTTCTGTGCCCTGCAAGGGTGAGCACAATATTGGAGCTGTGCCAGCCAAGAGTGCGGGGACGTAGTCCCCCAGCACGCAGAAGCGGTACTGGGTCTGCTGAAGGAGCTAGCACAACTATGAGAGCCTGTCCTAGACCCAGAGGATGGAGAAATTGAGACCTCAGGCATGGAGGTTAAGGGGAAGGGCCAGGCCTGGCGGCTGCTCTGAGTTAAGAAACCCAGCATGGTGCCTTGGACTCTCAGGAAAATCCTATTTCTCTGGAGCCTTGGAGACCTATGGGGATATGCGCAGTTAGACAGTCACCAGGTTGATTATTCTAGAATCACAGGGACAGAAGTAGACAGTCTTTCTCCAAGGACGGGACAAGGACAAAGACCCTTCCTGGCTGAACGTCTACCCCTCAGTACCGTCTGGCCATTGACTTCTCCTTAAGAAAGATGGACCACCTTCTGTGCAGATCCTGTTGCACACCCAGACGATATCAGATCTTTGGGTGCCTGCGCCCACCCCCCACTCCTCGTCCCCCACCCAAGGTGATCTTCCCCAGCCCCACAAGCTGTCCAGCAGGTAGCACGGGCCCTGACATCCTGCCCCAAACCTAGCCATCAGATGTCCTGCTTTTCACTTCTGTCTGCAATTGTATTTTAGAGTGTGAGGTGAATCTTTTTACACACCTAAATAGGAATGCCTGTTATAAGTGGGAAACTGGCACTATTCATAGTTTAAAACAATGGTAGGAGAATGCAGCATCAGTGCCACACGGTCGCCTGCCAGGCCCCGAGCCAGGCCCCGAGCCAGGCTTTCTTCCCCACACACAGGACCCCAGGCTGCCAGGCACTGTGGCCCATGCCTGTGATCTCAGCATTCCAGAAGTGGAGGTGGGAGAATCAGGACTTCTACACACTGAACGAGTTTGAGGCTAGCCTGAGCTACATATGTCTCTGTTTCTGGAAAGAAACAACAAAAGAAAGGAGACTAAGGGGAGAGGGTGGCAGACCAAGTGGCAGGGGACAACTCAGACGGTGTGTCACCATCTGACTCCCAGCAATCACCCACTCCGTCTGCATGCCCCCAGAAAGCAAAGACCGAAGGGCTTTGGGCACGGTTGCACCCCGGGGAAGGCAGAGACTCAGTGGGACTCCTGGCAGCCCCGCTCTGCTGTGTCCCACTTCCCCTACTAGCTACATGCTGAAATGTCCCTTGGTCGGGGATGTCTCTCCCAGGGTCCGTGGGATCTGTGTGGAGTGGAGTGGAAAGGACCGGATGCTCTGACTCGTAGAGAGTCCCGTGTCCGGATCTCCTGGTAAGAGGGCTGTGGAAAGTTTCTGAGGCTGGCGACACCTGAGGGCAGAAGTACCCTGGCCTTAGTGACAAATCAGAGAGCATTTTCCCACTGCTCCTGCACCACACCCCCAAATTGGGGTTGCTGCTAGATTCCTGTTGGTGGCCTACAAGCTATGGGCTTCCTAAAAATAGAAATGGGCTTTTTTTTTTCTGTTCTTTCCCAGCCCCCAGGAAAGGCTGCCTACCCTCTTCAGACAACCCTGAAAGTATGTGTCATCCAGCATCAAGGCCACCACAGTCACCATGAAGCAAAGGTCTTCTGGGGGCCCTGGGATCTTGGCAAGAGCAGGATGAGTGGGTGGTTTGGGGTGGGAGCGCTCCGCTCACCTGGAAGTTCCCATACAAGCCATGCCCACAGAAGTAAATGAATTATCCACGTGGCATGCCTTTAATCCCAGCACTTGGGAGGCAGAGCCGGGTGAATCTCTGTGAGTTCAAGGCCAGCCTGGGCTACCAAATGAGTTCCAGGAAAGGCGCAAAGCTACACAGATAAACCCTGTCTCAAAAAAAAAAAAAAAAAAAAAAAAAAAAAAAGAGTTGGGAAGAAACAGAGTTCACAGGGTGGACAAGCACCTGAAGAAGGTGTCCTGGGGTCTAAAGAAGTGAGGGACGGTTTCTCACAAGTGCTCATTTCCCTAGAGTGCATACAGAGATGGGTTTGGGACAAGAGCAGGAGCCACAAGGTGAGTGGGCCCAGAGAGGTTATCTAACGTGTGCAGGACCCTGGGTTCCATTCCCTGTACTGCAGAGAAAGAAAGAAAAAAAAAAGTCATTGCACACTTTAACTGGGTGGGCTCTACCTCAAGAAAGCTAACTTAAAGAAAAAGGAAATGCAAGTGGACATTTCAGTCGCAGAGGGCTCCAGGGCAAGGGAAGAACGGGACGGGACGGACAGGAGGCCACGGGACCCGCCCACACGCCTTCTCCTGCCCAGGAGGACGGTGGCAGCGTGAGCGCGGAGCGCCTGTCTCCCGGCCTGGGGTGCAGTGCTGCATCTCTGGTCAGTTGGGAGTCTGAGATGAAGCACTGTAGCTCAGGAAGAGAGAAGTTGTTCTGCAGCCATCTCCGGGACATGCGTGGTAAGTGTTGACGTGGGGTGACAGGCCCTATAGGTTGTCCCTAGGCTCCCCGTCAGCGGTCCGTGGTGACGGTCCTCGGCTCGCGCTGCACCAGTGGGCGCTGGTCCGTTCAGTGGCGGCCGGTACCGACACCCTGCCTCCACTTTCTCTTCCTGAGCCCAAAGAACACACTGCTAACAAATCACGGCATCTATCCGTTCTGGGAGGGTTCCGGCACACCCTCAGATTCCTTCTCAACACTGCTGACTCGAATCCCCACTACAAATGACTCTGGACTAAAACCCGTTCATCTCCGGAGACCATCAGACAATCCCTAACAGCTCTTCCATCCCGGAGGGAGCGGCCCAGGCTCCTGGCAGCCCCACACATGGTAGATGACACCATCATGTGGCAATGTCAAAATGTTGCACATCCCTGTTGGGCTTGGGGTCAAAGTCCTCACTCTCTGAGCCTCTAACCCTGGCTCTGTGCTATTGGCTAAACCAGCCCAGGCATGTCACAAATGTCTACCCTGTCCTAGAGGCCTCGGAGACGCAAGGGGCAGCAGAGGAGAGCCACTGGGATCCACCCAGTGATAGTTAACCTCCCACGCCTGGTCAGAAGAAGGTGACCCACTTCACGGAGGAGAAAACTAAGTCTTAGTTAAGTGGCTGGCCTTAGGTCACACGTGGACGTGCTGAGCTGGGGTCCAACTTCTTATCCCCTGTGAGACTATGGGACCGGGGAGTGGGAGAGTGTAGGAGAACAGAACACACTCCACTCTGGTCCTGTGTACTCTCTGCTGTAGTGACAGAGTCAGGACCACACACTTGTAAGAGGCCGGTGGCCTCGATTTCTTCTGCATGCTGGCTCCTCACCCAGTAGGTGCTATTTGATGGCACTTTACAAGCAAGGCCCAGAGTTTAAGTGACCCGCTGGTCACCAGTGAGAAAGATGCCAGAGCGTGGGAACTGACTTCACCCAAACTGGCTTAAACTCACCCTCCTGGCCAGAGCACTTGTGGCCTATGGCAATGGGGCGGGTGAGGGGACACTGGTCCCAGATGTTTTCTGATCAGTTCTGATCAACATCAGCAGGCTGGCCTTTGACCACAGGGAAGGTACTTTCCAAGCCACTCCAAGCTCTAGTTGCTCTTCCCAGGGCGGGACGCTGCAGCACCCCACACTGGCTGCCAGAGCTAGGGCTGGATGCAGAGAAAAGTGCCCGGTCCCTAGGGGTGTGGCACGTGCTGAAGGCTTCCCTCTCCCACCTTGTCCTCACGGTCCAGTTTTCCCAGGAATCCCTTGGATGCTAAGATGGGGATTCCTGGAAATACTGTTCTTGAGGTCAAGGCTTAACAGCGGGATCTGCCTCCTTCCCATCCTGGCATTTCCTCCCTGGGATGAGGGAGGAGAAGGCGGCACACTGGAGGTAAGAGGCCTCGCTCGGGACATCCTTTGTGACCTTTGTATTGCTTTTCTTTCCACTGGGTCGGCATTTTGTAACATCCCCCAGGAGGCTGGATGTGGGAACCTCAGAACTGCCTCACTCTTGAGAAACTTGTCCCAAGTCGCAGAGGTTGAAGCAGGACTCTGAGGCAGCCTCCCCCTCCACCCTGACCCTCCGCATTCCTTCCCTGCAGGCCTTATGGCAAGGAGGGGCCACAGGCCCGTATCCACATTATTCAGAAAGCCATACACAAATTTATTTTAAAATTTTATTAGATCAGTTAGGTAAACTCAAAACCATTCCTCTCCGTTGGATTTGGAGTGCCGCAGCCGCAGGAAGAGCGCGTTCGAGGTAGGAAAATACAAGATTTGGACCGCCCCCTGGTGGTAGTCCTGCGCACTGCAAGAACACTGATTGCCCAGACACTGAGCAGGAATCGCTCTGCCTTCCTGTTTCTACACACTTCTACCAAAATTCTTTCTGCCCAATTCTTTTGAGCCTCTGACATGCTTCAGCCTCATTCATCTCTTGCCAGAGATGCTTCCTCGGCTTACCGTTGGCTTTTCTTTAGGTCCAAACCAGTGCCAGTTCACCTAGACAGCAAACAGCAGAACCAGGATAGGTTTCAAGTTCCGTGGCCCCTGGCCTTGAACGTCTGAGCCAAAAGGAAAAGTAGGGCCAAGTACTCCTCCCTTAGAGCTCCCTGCCTTCCAACCCTTGAGAGTTCTTTCTCATTTTTCCTTAATAAATCTCTGTTTGCTGTGCTTAAAAAAAAAAAAAACTGCTTTGAGCCAGGCGGTGGTGGCACACGCCTTCAATGCCAGCACTCAGGAGGCAGAGGCAGGCAGATCTCTGTGTGTTCAAGGCCAGCCTGGTTTACAGAGCGAGATCCAGGACAGGCACCAAAACTACACAGAGAAACCCTGTCTCGAAGAACAAAACAAAACAAAAATGTAGTTTGAGGCCAGCCTGGTCTACATAGTGAGTTCCAGGACAGCCAGAGTTACATAGTGCTACATGTTTCTGCATAGTGAGATCCTGTCTCCAAAAAAAAACCAAAAAGATCTAGAGCCAGGATATAGTTCAGTTGGTAGAGGGCCTGTCTAGAGTGTGTGAATCCCAGGGTTCCATGCCTAGCACAAATCAGGTGTGGTTGTACATGCCTGTAATCCCAGCACATGGAAGGGAGAGGCAGGAGGATCAGAAGTTACAGCCACCCTTGGCTAAATGGTGTGTCTGAGGCCAGTCTTGTGAAATGAAACCCTATCTTGAGGGGAGGAAGGTGAAGCAACAATTACAAAAATTAAAAATAAAAAGACTGCCTCTCCAGTTACGTGTATGGGACGCTGACTGGATGAATGTTAAAAATCCTTCATGAAATCCAGGCATTAAACTGGGACTTGGGCTGAGGAGATGAGGTGGCTTGTCAGGAAAGGCGCTCTGTCAAATCAAACCGGAGCCCACGTGAAGGAAGAAGAAAACCGACTCCTGAAAACGGTCCTCTGACCTCCACACGTATGGCGTGCTATGTGCAGCAAGCATGCTCACACACAATAAAAATAAATAAATGTGAGGGGAAAACTAGAACTTTGGGGGCTAGGGAGATGGCCCATTCAGTAAAGTGCTGAGTTCGGGCGCCCAGGGCCTATGCAGAAAGCCAGGTGTGGTACCCTGGCTGGTGGGGAGAGACAGGAGGACCCCGGAGTTCTGCAGTCAGCCAGTCTGGAGCTCCAGGTTTAGTGAGAAACACTATCTCAAAATCACAAGATGGAGCCGGGCGGTGGTGGCGCACGCCTTTAATCCCAGCACTCGGGAGGCAGAGCCAGGCGGATCTCTGTGAGTTCGAGGCCAGCCTGGGCTACCAAGTGAGTTCCAGGAAAGGCGCAAAGCTACACAGAGAAACCCTGTCTCAAAAAAAAAAAAAAAAAAAAAAAATCACAAGATGGAGAGTGAGAGAGGACACTAACCCCTTGCACACATTTATGCACGTGCGCGCGCACACACACATACACACACACTCATGCACCTTAGAACTCTCCTTTAACTGTCCCAAAGGGACAGTCAGTGAGTTGGTAGAGGTGGCGACTGCCCATAGCTCCACAACCCTCATTTTTTGGTTGTGGCATCACATCTCCAGAGATCAGCTAGTTCCCAGGGACATGCAAGCTATGCTCTTAGCAAGCATCCAGGAGACATTTCTGAAGAGAGACCCCCCCCCCTGCTCTTACTCTGAGGCTGTTGCTGACCCCACTCTCTGGCTCTTTACCATCTGTCAGGCCCTAGGTTACACACTCACAGCATCGCTCGGTGCTCACACCGCCCAGTGAAGCAGCACACAAAGAGCCCAAGGCTGAAAGAGGTTAAGACACCCTCAGGCCACACTCAAGGGTTGGGTTGTGACACTAGAATCCAGCCAATGCTTACAATCCCACCATCATATTGTGCCCCACCTGGCTGCCTCAGGCTCCCCCTGGGCCCCCCTCCCCCCGTGGCTTTCCCATTGAGGAGAACAGCAAGCCTTCCTCTCTGTGTTCTTCCACATTAATAAAGTGCTGTACCTTTGCTTCGTGTCCTGTTTCTTCCTGGGAGTATGGGGGTGAGAAAGAATAACCCAGTATTCACTGCTGTAACCCCCAAGTGCCTCCACTTGCCAGACACTTCCAGAGATCAGTACAGACAGCAACCAGGAGCCACATCTGGGCTGCCCATCACATTCTTGGTGTCTCCGGATGCTTCCAGGCCATGTCTCAAAGTATGTCCTTGTAGAGGCTTGTGGGGGGATGGGGACCCTTAAGGTTAAGTAAGGGCCACAGAGGAGTTGGGATCTAACACATGGCAATCCCTCTCCTTCCTTTCCAGAAAATACGATCTAAAATCAAATGTTCACACGGGTATGTGATTCTGAGTGACCTCAGGCCATAAGCCCAGCTCGGCAATGACAACTCAGCTGTACCCCAGGCCACAAAGCTAACTTATGAGGATCTTC